GGCAGCTTAAATAGAGCGGCAGGTTTAGGAGAATGTGTTTGGTTGGTTGTAAGAGGGACGAGGTGCGTCAGGTGTTAATGTATCACTGGTGCTCGCAGGCTTCGCCCCATTTGTGGGTTTTCTTCCAAACTAATTCAAAATCCATTTTACATTTTAATAACACAAACAAAAATCCAGCCCCACAACTGACTGTTACAATGCTTACAAATGTCATGTGAATCATTCATTTAGTCTAGAAAGTGTTCTTAAGAAATGTCATAATGCTTTTTCACATTTCAAATACAATTATGTAAGACAGCCTTCTCTGGTTGAGCTGTCCATCACCAAGTGACATTTTCAATCTGTGATAAGGGATGGCAAGAAAGTATCACTTTATTTTAAAGGAGCTACAAGCCGGAAAGGATTGGGAACTATTACTTGAACAAACATTTTCCCAAAAGCCCAGGACATCCAAGATGTACATGTCACCAGCTCGACAGAATAAGACCAAAAAGGGGTTTACAGATTACAGCTAGTCTGAAGAATCCAAATGACTTTCTGTCAACAGTTTTTATGAGGACATTTTTTAAAGTTAAAGAAGTTAAAATAGAAACTATTCACATTGAGATCTGTGGATTATCTTGAGTTACCGGGAAATTGTTTCTGGGAAGAGATGTTTCTGTTTTTAATGTATTTTTTTTCATTGCTGTGAGCGCCAACCACAAAATTCAATTTACCATTGAAGTGGGTTGGAAGCAAAAATATATGAGACAATATATCAAAAGAAATGCAGCCAGTTTTCACAAGCTAATGTCAGTACTCTGAAAAACAAACATATGTCGGTACACCACAGAGAAAGCCAAACAAACCAGCAGTTGAGAAAACACGAGCGACCCACAACACCTTCTGTTCAGCAGCGCAGGGTGCCCTTAAGAGGGATTGCAGAGAGCAGCAGCAACCAAGTTTGTTCACCATCCATCAATGCAGCACAGCAATTTACCCAAACAGCACAGTGGAGTCAAAAAAATACTGGCAAGGCACAAAGAAGGAAAGAAAATGTCCCCTAACTGTAACTGTGGGGGCGGTGGGGGGAACAGATAAACAACTTTCCAAAGCAGGATTACGGTGCTGTATGTGGAGGCCAGGATGCGTGGGCCTTGTCTCTATATGTGCTACAACAATTGGTGCAGGGGAGCTAAGCCGGCGTTCAGGGGAGACACGAAAAAGCAGCACGAACGTCTTGTTAGGGGGGCAGACAGGGAGCTCATCAGTGCACAAGATCACGGCTGACAGAGAAGCTTGTTAACGGCGGAGCCAAAAGGGTGGCTCATTAGGAAGAGGAACCAGGAGCCTGCCCGGGCCATGCTGGTCTCACCAGATGGCTGCCTGTCTGCTGGCTGATGAAGAATATGGACATCCATCATTTGTTAATTATGTGCAATATGTTTTATGTGCAGGAAATCATACTGAAAGGATTCATTGCAGTCATGGTTTGACTTTGTCACAGTTTGATTTCTGAAACTTTTATATACAGTATACTGCCAGAGTTGTATTCACTGGGGTGAAGGAGCTCCAGTTTCATTACATACTGAGCTGAAACAAAGTTTGTCCATGACACTGGGACATGAATCCTGTTGCAACATTGCCCCCTACTGGTTTTAATAACTACAACAACAAAAAACACTGATGGAGGCAAGATCCAATCATATTTTTGCATCATTCACCACTCAATAGGCTCCTCACATGTTGCCAGCCGTCACTATGAATAACAGATTGTTTGCAATCACCCTGTCTCGCAAATACAGCGCTCTTCAGCTTGATTATCGCACTGGAAAAGTTTTCAGTGAGGACCAATAAATCATTATTCATCATTCATAACACAAGCTGTTGCTGCAACGTCTAGACCGTGAGTGGGTCTTATTCATTTTAGATCTTGTTTTCAGGGATGCTTCAACTAAATAGCAGATGATTTATTTGCCATCAACTATCACACATATCCTAAAAATTAAAAGTATTGTTGCATGGTATTACTTTTAGAGCCAACAGTGTGAATCTATCTACAGCTGGTATGATTGAATTTGAAAAAATCTGATTTTTTGTATTGAATAAAAGCATGGCTAGTAGAATGGAAAAAAAATAAAAGATGTAATCAATCCATGGTGATGTGACCAGAATATATTAGAAAGAGTTTTTGAAGCTACATACACTTTTTTTGTGCTTTAATGTCTACTGGTGCAAAAGCGTCCCTAATGAGTATGCAACTCATTAAATGTACCTTAAGGGTAATTTCACAAAGAAATATAACATATCTTAAACTGCTAGAATCAGTGTGAAAACTGTGCTGTGTCATTTGGTTTCTGTTTAAAGGGGGAATGAGTCAGCATGTCTGAAGTTGTCCTCCAGTGGTAATTTTCTGTTAATTAAAACTTACAGTAATGGTTCAGAATAAATTACAGAAAAAAATAAAATGTTCAGTACACAATATTGTTGGGATACTTTTCTTTAAACCTTCATAAATGAGAGAGAGAAAAATCCATTAACAATACAACAATGTCAAAAGTTCTAGAACTAAAATCCACCTTAAGGAACCTCCACCTGAGACGGCGTACAGAGAGGAGGTTGAAAACCTGACATCTTGGTGCCAGGATAACAACCTCTATCTCAACATCAGCAAAACCAAGGAGCTGATTGTGGATTACAGGAAGCAGCAGAGAGAGGGACACGCCCCCATCGCCATCAATGGGACTACGGTGGAGAGAGTCAGCAGCTTCAGGTTCCTCTGTGTCCACATCACTGAGGACCTGACATGGACTCTTCACACAAACACCATCACCAAAACAGCGGCTCTTCTTCCTCCACAGGCTGAGGAGGTTCAACATGGACTCCAGGATACTCTGCAACTTCTACAGGTGAACCATAGAGAGTATCCTGACTGCAGTGGCGTAACAACGTTGTGATTGGCCCCGGTGAAAATATTGTTTTGGGGCCCCCCCCCCCCCATCGCCCCAAACATAAGCGCACGCTGATACGCTCACACACGCACGGACACACACACAACCACTCATAAGCGCCACATGTAGGCTATCAACAACAGCCTGCCCTGGCCTCAGACCACCACAGCCTGATAACGGCACAGCGAACTAATCACACAATCACTTTACAGAATTAATAGAGATTTCGAGGACGATGTATGACAAAAAAAACTGTCTAATTTCGTCAGTTTAGCCGTGACATCTCCTTGTTCTCTCTTGTCCTTTCTCTTTTGAGCGCCGCTCTTGTGCTTTGGTTTGCAGTACATTATAAATGCAAGCTATTACATTTTTTGTAATGCTGCCAAACTTGCTGCTGCTAGCTACAGTACCTATAACTTTTGAGGTTGATTAAACGGTTCACTCGTCGCAAGGTATCACATGACATGAAAGGGAGCAAGGTCATTGGACAGCCATTTTTTTTTTTTTTTTGCATGGGCCCCTGTCCGGCTCTGGGCCCCGGCTGCATCACGGCCTGGTACGGCAGCTGCACCGCCCTCAATCGTAAGGCTTTACAGAGGGTGGTGAAAACTGCACAGAACATCACCAGGACGGAGCTGCCATCCATGGAGGACCTTTACTCCCAGCGGCTCAGGAAGAAATCCCTCCGGATTATAAAAGACCCCCATCACCCCAGCCACAAACTGTTCGGTCTGCTGCCGTCAGGCAGGCGGTACCGCAGCATCCGGACTAAAACCACTAGACTCAGGGACAGTTTCATCCCACAGGCAATAAGAGTGTTAAACACCTGAACAGCTGAAGCAAAATCTGTTTAACACCTGAACTGTTGAAACATCCATAATATTCATCTGGCTGCTACTTAGAAATTATTTATCTATTAACCTAATATATCATATTCCAATATAGACTCTTATTGCACTATTTCACTTTTTTAAACTATTTTTCTTTTTGTATTTACTATTTACTTGCACTATATTTGTCTGTTTATCTGTGTTTTACTGTTGTGAAAAAACTACAGGAAAGTGAAAACTTCATAAGCATCATATGGCCCCTTTAAGTGTGAAATTACAAAGTTGCATTATGGGAACTGAGGGATCTAGTGTTTTTGGAACAGGGACTAAAAGTCTTGGCATCTGCTGCTTACAATTTGACTATATAAGTTTGTGTCTCCCAACTTGTGGAAGATCAATAACATATTGCTGCATTACAACTTTAAGAAAAGTGTTATCAGCAGAAGGTTGAAATGATTAGATATTAGGAAAAAAACTCATTCTCCAGAAAAGTGTTTTTTAGTGCAGTATCTTAATCTAAAAAGTAACTTCAGCTGTGGAATACATATGGAATAAAAAGTACATGCATTTACTCTAAAATGTATTTGTATATATGTATAAAGTAACATCAAACAAAACTACAAAGTATATTACTTTTCGCCATTGACTTTATCCTAATATGGATAGAGGGTGTTTCTCAATCGCGAGTACGCTTGCTTGGTAGCACATGTCTGCCGAGCATCTTGCTTCAGAAGCGAGTCAAGAATACTTCCTGCCATTCGGAAAACGAAGTGTGGAACAGGCTAGCAAGTGTGCAGGTGTGCGTCATATGAGAGGCCCCGCCTTACATCTTCCGCCACAGATTTGGGGAAATTGGTCCGTGCGCAAAGCATTGTGGGGATTTTAAGGCCGCGAAGTCTACTCATGTGCACACTCGATATTTCTCCAAACGGAGTACGCCGGGCTCGGTAGATTTCCAAGTATGCTGGAGATTGGAACAGTACTTCGGCGGCACTCGATGACGTAGTATGCTTGAAATAGTGGCTCGGAAGCAGCTTTACTCGCGATTGAGAAACACCCAGAGTCAATGGTGAAAAGTAATATACTTTGTATGGGGCGTACAAAACCGAAGAAGTGCCCTTCAAACTGTTTAAAACATCAGTGCATGCTGTGAAAAACAAAACAGCACAAGCAGCAGATACATCTATACATGGCTTCATTTAATGTGTTTCAAACAATTCAAGAATTTATGAGACAAATGTACAGGAATTATTTTTGCCATTTTATTTCTTTTCTTCACATTATTGCTTTACAGTAAAATGCATTGGTTGGATATGTCCAGTATAGCAAGACAATACATTCATATAAGTTATACAGATGTCCTCAGTAATGTTTTTATAGTAACTAACTTTACATTAAATATATTTTTTTAATCATTTATTATTCTTGACAAACAACTCCCACGTCACATTGAGCTCACAGTGCATCAGGTCGCATTCAATCAAGAAATACATACCGGTCCTCTCTTGTGTTCAATTGCCATTTCTAACGTGTGTGTTCTAAAGTGTGTGCGCTTATTTCGTACACAGGATTTTTTTATACAATCTGGATTTATGCAGAGCTACGACAAAAATGGCATCTGAATACTAATTATTTTTTTTCCCCCACGTCCAAAAAAAAGTGACTTGGTAACAAAGCTGCGCGTCAGACAACCGGTGAGAACTGTTTCAAGATGAGGACAAAAGAGTAGTGTTTCCCCCCTGCTGTGCCACTCAAACATGGCAACCGGGACATGACCACACAGAGCAACAACAATATACACAAAATAAATAACCCTGCACATTCTGAATCAATTCAAGTACAGTACGGACATTCCTTCCCCAGAAAAAGCATCAAAAAGTAGGTCCTGTTTTTATATAAGACCCACTGTAAGGGTTCAGGAGGAGGAAGGATGTCATAGTGGAGCAGTCTGTAGGCCCTGTGTGGTCAACTCCGTCCAGTAAACACAGCAGTTTGAACCCTGATGGAGTAGCAGCTTAAGGGGGTGCAACCTTTTTTTTTTTTATCATTTCTTTTTTGTCCCTTTAAGTCTGCTCTCATCCATGTCCTTTCAAAAATAACAACGTCCCGAGGGCGGTGGAGGAAAGTCATCCATGCATTCCCTGCTGCTCCTTCAGCTAGGGTTAGTGGAGAGTTAATGCCCTTGTGCAGGAGGAGACAAGAGTGGAGAAAGAGGGGGGGGGGAAGGAGAGCGTGTGTGTAGGACTTCCCTCAGAGCCACAGTTCCAGAAATGTCCTTTGGGCTCAGTTCCTCAGTTTTTACTAAACACACACCTGTGAGCTCACACATCAAGTACTACGAGACAAACCAACGTCACATCTCCGCGAGGTTCCCCCGTCTCTATATGGCAACCTTGCAGGGGCCCTCTGTCACATAGAATTCTTTAAATTGAGATTGCATATACAAGAGCCTGCTGCCAACGGTGTGGCACAGGAATAATTTCGACACTGAAAACACTCCCCACACGCTCGTTTAGTCTCTGCACCGCACTTGTGGACTCCTCACGGGCATTTTTGCATGATGTCAAAATGTCTGGATTGCAGTGTAGCTGCCGATTTTTGTAAAGTGGGTCGGGCGGTATCCATGGTGATGCCCAGAAGTGACGCTGTGGAGGAGCTGCATGTAATGTCCCAGCATGCACTGCAGTCAGAGGCGGGTGTGCTCATGGTGTTAACGAGGTTCCAGTTCGTCCCAAGTGTGGAGAGCCCGGTGTGGGAAACATAGCGTGGGCCCATACTGAGCGCGCACACACACACACACACACACAATTCTCTCACTCACACACACACACAATCCTCTCACTCACACACTCACACTTATACACTGAAAATACACACGCACAGAAGGAAGCACTAGTTGATTCAGAATGAGAGGACGGCTGTTAAAGTGCAATATCTACATGTAACTCAAAAATCAAGAGACCACACCATCGCCATCTGCTGGAGTTGTCCATCTCCGAGTTTCCCTGATAACCTTCGGCTGTGGATGGCACCCCCGCCCTGGGTAGAGGGGCTGAGGTACCCCCTACTGGCCAGAGGGTGTGATAGCAGACAGTCAGTGTTGAGAATCGCCTTGTTTCTTTGCATTTACTGTAAAACAATGACCTCCATGCTGTGGCTGTCTCCAGATGACCACAAGTCACCTGATGATGACGAAAATCCAATGCATCCACAGATCTGGAGCCAGTTTTTTTTTTCTGAAGTTGTGCAGAGGGAAAAGTGGACTGACCCATTGATGAATGAATAAACGCTGGAGTGGAGTCTCCACCAGCAGCCACACACCCCTCTGAGTGGTCAAATCTCCTTACAGCACAAAGCAAGAAAAGCATTTTCAATGTGCAATTTGTTTCAGTGAAAAACAGGCAACGTCCTATATTTGCAACAAGCTCTCCTCCGCACATCATACGAGACAAAACCTTGGTTTGAAAAAAAAAAATACAATATAAAATAAGTGTTTACAAGTTTTTGTGCAGTGCTGCATATGCATAACACCCTCACAGTCATCTGATCTGGACTGTGATATTTCTGGACACAAAGCGTCCTGACAAAATGTCATCTTTTTTTTTTAAGAAAACAAAGCAGATTTGATCAAGCAGATGAAGGTTGAGAAGAGTAGCAGAGAGGGATCGAAGCGCTAACACTATTTGCTCCCTGATGCCAAAGGCCATGCCAGGGTATTTGGGTCCAGGAGGGGGGGAGCTGCCGAGGACAAAGCCCTCCTCCGTGGGGGGAGAAAAAGGAGTGTATTTTATCTTTGGGTGCCGGGGTTACTGTAATTGTTTTAGGAAGAAAGCGAGGAGAGTTCTGTCTATGTGGGGATTTTGGTTGGAATCATACGATTTTTTTCTTCTTCACAGACTCTGGTTTGGTTTGTGGAAAGGCTTTGGAAATGGTGTGTGGAAATCTACAATGTGAAAACAGTGAAAACACACACACCGACAATCAACAGGGGCACTTATGATTCTGAGATCCCCGACATCTAAAGGCATGCTAGATGGGTAGAAAGTTAGCAGGCGCACAAGAGGAAATAAAGACTTTTACTGCAATAACAGGCAAAGCCTGAAGAAATGGGCATTAAGGACCGGCACTGTGTGACAAGAGGTCAAATTAGAGTCCACTCTTACAGCTAAACTGCCTCTTTAGGAAATGAGATTCATATTTGGGAGAAGGAAAGGAGTCTGCAGATAGGTCCAGTATCATTGAAAGAAAAGAAAAAAAATGTTGGGTTGCTATGGGAGCGTTGAGGTTTTGGTATGCGATTCCTGCGCAGTACTCTACTCCTCCATGCACATGGGCAGGTTGACGAAGGTGAACACGTTGTACTCGATCATGACGGAGAAGCAGAGGAAGATGGCGTACAACACCAGCACGTAAATGCCCAGCTTCGTGTCCAGCCTCCACTTGTTCACGTGGATCCCCAGCACCTGCACGCATACAAAATAGGTCAGTGTGGTCATCGAAGTTTAGTCGTTTTAGCAAAGAACTGGTGATAAAATGATGGAGAAAAAAAAGCTGAATTATAGGCAGTAACATTTCACCACTACACATAAAATGCATATTTCATCATGAAACTTAAATCTATAAGAAGCATTTTCGTGTTCATCTTTGCTCAGAGATTACACCACAGCAGTGTTTTTATCTCTGTTGATGTGAAGAATGTCTGCAGCTGGCACACTGGCACAGAAAGCAAGCTCAGAAAAACATGGATAAACTGTAATTTCAAAAACCCATGTTTGTTTGATGTCAAATTGTAAAGTAGGAATATATTTCAATTCAGTTCTGGCCAGAAAGTCAGACATAATTGCTTTAAAATGATCATTTTGGTTTATTTTCTCCAGTAAGAGTGTCCCATTCAGATTGCTTAATGAATGCAGTATAACTACCCACATCTCGCTCTGTTTATTCCAAAAAGAAAAATGTTTAAACCTCCTTTGCAGCAGGGAATATTTCACAGGAAATACAACACTGAATTTAAATGTTTTGGTAAAGCAATTACATCATTTGGTTTAGTCACTATTGTGTAACAGAGCGTCTGTCAGTGATGAGAACAGGGATCTTGTTTTTCTGTAATAATGTACTGTTAATTTTTACTTCAGACATGTCCGGTAATCAGGCATTCTTCCTGGGAGTGGTCAATATGTTTGTATAGCGTAAACATCCTTAACTATTTACTCACCGTGAGGGCCACAGAGCCCAGCAGAAGCACCACAGAGTACAACAGGCCCTTACTGTTAATCATCACCTGCAACACACAAGGGAAAAACAACAATTCACCTGCAGCTCCTGAACGTTATCGGTCAACATCAGAGATAAGGAGTAACTGGATTGTTTGTTTCCTACGCTCACATGCACAAGAATACAGAATAAACATGAGTTTTTGTGAAGAAAACAAGCTCATTACCTCTGATCCATAGCTCACACACATGGTCTGGATCGCCCAGGGAGCCCCCAGTCCCACGAGAATATCAAACACATTACTGCCAATAGTGTTGGACACCGCCATGTCTCCCAAACCTGCAACAAAACCAAAAGTAGTAAGAAGGAGCAAGGGTAAGGACGTTTTTCTTCTATGCTTTCAGGTCAAGTAAACTTATTTTTTCTAATCAATGGTTAATGATTTGCTGTTCTGCACTTTTAGTTATTCACAAGGGCCCAAAGCCTTATTCAGATGCAAGTCGTGACTCAGGACTACGCCATATTGTCGATATATGCAGAGCTGTTTTTTTTTAATTCCAACTCTTTTACATGCATGAGGCGGACAACTAATTTGTTACCCTAGGAACAAAGTCTGCGAGGTTTATCAATTATGGTGTAGTCGCACACATGCATGTAAACGCCATGTGCATGCAAATTGTAGCAATTCCTACTAAGGAAACTCACTGTAATATGTATATGTCCTACTAAAACAACTCCTGTATAATCCATATGATTTTGATTTAGGAAGAATACAATGTCTAAAAGTCTGCATTGGGACAAAGAAAGGGTGGGTGGATGGTATGGACAAAAACACAAGACTTCCTCCCAGTAGATTTATTCTGAAAATACTGCGTGCATGTTCCTAAAGATTTGTACGAGAACTCACAAAAAATGATAACTTTTTGTAGGATATCATACGCAATGTCGTATGAGGATACTTTGCTTACAATACATACAGATACATTTCTCCATCCAAAAGGGACATCCCAGAAAGCACTTTCTGGCTCTCCACCTTGTAATAAATCAACATAATTGCATCTAAAATGTTTCAGAGCGATCGGTATACCTTGCCGAGCGACAATGAGACTGGCTATGCAGTCTGGGACGCTGGTGCCTGCTGCCAGGAAAGTGATGCCCATGATGACATCAGGGATTCCCAGAGTGTAGCCGATTATAGTCACCTGAGACAGATACAGTGTCAGCACTTAAAATTAGCATTATGAATGGCAAAAAGCACATTAAACTTTGCCAAAAATGTCCTTGTTTAATGCTCCGTTACTGACCATCGAACATTTAAACTTCAGTTTCCTAACAGTTGGCTAACGGTTGCTTCCACCATTTTGGTTGTGATGCACGGATTATACAATAATGTGCTAAATTTGACAGTTAGACTAAAATATTGTGAATCCAGGTCTTGATACGGCCTTAATTTATTTTTATAATAGCTTTTTCTGATTTCTAATGGCCATCATTTAATGTTTTCAGATACAATTTGAAGAAGGAATTAAATCGCATCAAGCTTTACGACAAAAACAATTGAAATAGTCAATTACGTCTATTGTAACTAACAGCAGCCCTTGATCCAACAAACACCACATTTCTCACACTCACAACATATGAAGTTCTTGATTGATCCACACAAACATTACACTCACCATCCAGACCATAAAGTAGGAGAAGACGGCGATCCAGACGGTGGCCAAGAAGAAGGAGAGCATGAAGAATTTCTCCCAGCGAGGCTTGGCACAGTTTGGGACGGTTACGAACAGCATGAGCAGCAGAGGCCACGAGATCAGCCACTTCAACCTGCTGCCAATACCCCCTGCAACAGGAAGACGCATTATAACCAAATATCAGCCTCTTGCTCTTCAGTAATATGGTGGAAAAATGTACTAACCTATTTTTTTTATAAAAAGTTTTTTTTTCTTTCAACATATTACATTGATATACACTTTTATAATTAGAAACACTACATTTCCTACACATTTTTCACTTTCAAATCAGGTTTCCCCCTTAGATATTATGAATCTATTTCTACATTGATTATTAATGTCATTCTAAGGAGACCTACTTGTACATTTCTTTACATTTTATAATTTGTATATAAAGCCAGTGACATTTGAGCAAAGACATTAATAATGTATTGCATATTTAAAGAAAGGATATACAGTTGGACACAGATAATGTAAGTGTCTGAAATGTCAATAAGGAAAAAACGACTTTGTTTCCAATATATGTTTAACCCCAAGGAATCCATCCATGTCCACCAAATAATGCACATTAAGTGAATACATACGTGGGATATGAAACGGTGAGATGGTTATGTTTTCCGGCTCCTCTGTGGGTTTGTCCTCTGGCACGTTTCCGTTCTCGATCTCAACCTTCCCGTCGATCACTTGTGTCTCCACACCATTGGCAGCTTGGACCAACTTCTGGCGCTTTCAGAAAAAATAAACTAAGTCAAAGGGCACATGAGAGGACGCGCTTATACTCCGACTGCATCGCTCCAGCCATATTTTGAACGTATCTTTTCATACTGTGTGTGTGAGATAAGGACTCTTTGGGAAGCCTTTTTGGGAACTGATCTCAAACACAAAGCTGAAAAGATTTAACCAGTTAAGCCCCGAGCCTGTTTTTCAGGCCTCAGGCTCGAAAATGACATTCCCAGAACAAATGACTATATCTTCACTTCTAAAAAGGGGTAAATTAATAATCTTTCCATATCTCTGGCCCCCCTCGGTCGATTTTGATGATTGACACCTCTTTTTAACCGTTAGAGCCAATAGAATCGAGGGGAAGTTCCTCAAATCCATCTAAACATTACCCATTGGTGAATGAGTGATGCGTAGCCAGAATGCCCAAAACCGGAAGCTGTCATACACTCTGGTAGCTATCATAGCAGTTGTATGAAAACTCCGTTATTGACATAAATATGAAGATGAATTATCAGTATTCATTTCAAAGTGACACAGACGCATTGGATTAACCTTCAGCAGCGTTTTTATTGTTTTAATGCCATTGAACACAACTTCTTATCAGAAACAGCAAAAGGTAAGACATTTCTCCCGTGTTTGCTCCGTAAAGCTACGCTGTGTGATGTCCGTTTGCTTCCCCTGTCGCGAGTTCTGATCGCTCAGTGATGATACTTATATTTATGGAATCTGTGGAATCTCAGCTTGCTAATCAATATCTTGTTTGTGCAGATCCGATAAGTAATAAGGGTATTTTAACGCGAGTTCTGTGCTAAGTGTGTTAGCATCTTTTCGCTCATGGCGAATTCAGAGCCTTTGTTATTAACCTTGTGTTTCGTTTAGCTAAACATGGTTAATATTGTCTGATAGATGAGTTTCTTCCCGTTAAGTGGGTATGACACATTCATAGTTTGTTAATGTTAAGAAGCCCTCAGACGCTGTTTCTTGCAAGATGTTGCGTCATGCGGGCATGGGGCTTAACTGGAGTTAAAATAAATGAACATATCAACACAGTCTCACAGCATTTCGTGTTATAGTCACGAAATTAATCTATTGATTCGTGTTCACCAACACGATTTCGCCATTTTTTTCGTGTCACACAGAACGATTTTAAAAGCAATGTAAATAATAACAAATTAGAAGGAAAAACACATTTAAAAAAATACAGATTTAAGTATTCTGACACAGAACGATTTTAGAAGCAATGTATTTATATTGGTAGTATGTTTCGTGCCTGCACCAAATAATAACAAATTAGAAGGAAAAAAAGATGACATAAAATACAGATTTCAGTATTCTGAGGCTCTGAGCCCCATTTCTTTTCCTCACTGACAAAAAAACTCAGACATTATACAATTTAACATAAAAGGGATAGGGTTAGGCTTAGGGTAAGATATTGAGTAAGAACATGTTTTTATGAACCACACAGCTTCTGGTCTTCCAAGACCCGACCGGACAAAAAGACGTGTTGCAGGCACGAAACATACTACCAATAGAAATACATTGCATTTAAAATCGTTCCGTGTGACACGAAAAAAAGGTGAAAATCGTGTTGGTGAACACGAATCAATAGATTAAATTAATTTCGTGACTAATAACACGAAATGCCGTGAGACTGGGTTGAACATATCAGTAGCAAATCTTATTGGAGCAACAACGTTCATCTGTACCTCTGTAATGATGAGGCGGCTGGCCATGCGCAGACGGGTTTTGGGTCCAAAATGGCTGGTGACCATGACACGGAGGCCCGCTTCTGGAAACCTGAACTTTGAAGGGCTGTCGTGCATGATCTCGTCCACCATGACCACCGACCCACGGCTGTATTCCTTGGTGGGCTTGACTGAGGGGTGGATGAAGATGATTTAAATATAGAAAAATAAAACAAATGTAGTTAGTGAACCAAATATCAAAACCATGAATCCACCAAACATCGGACAAGCATATGATTGTTTTCACTCACTTTCTATTCGTTTTAATTGCCTCACTGAAGTATATAGACTTTAAAACTTCAGGCAGCAAGAAATATGTACTGTAGAATCATTTTGAAGTCAATAGTGCTCCAGTTTCCTGGGACAAGTTGCTAATGAATATAAATGACTGCTAAACCTGAGATATTTTGTCATATTTTCTGAGTTAGAGCTGCACCAGGCAAGATTTTCATGTCAACACGCACCATTCCCATTACCCTAAATCACGACGTGGGCTCAGTTCGGGCAGTTTGATGCCTGCACAAATCAAAACTTCAGAGTAACAGCGTCCACTAAATAACAGCCTGGATGTCCCGTCTGGACAGGTTGGGATGTTTTCCAAAGCTCTGAAGTTCATTCCTCCTTTGGATTGGCTCCCTTAGCTTTTACAAAGTGACCTAGAAATGGCTGTAGGTGCCTTTATTTTATTTTTTCAGAGATGAGGGAAGAGATTATTTGTGTTTGTTTTTGTTGTCTTGCCAGGAAACTCATTTTAAGGGAACATAATATGAAGGTTGAAAGCATTATAAATCCAGTGTTTTACATCTCGCAATAAAGTGAGATCATCTTCCAAATGTCAACTTCTAAATGGAGTCCATAACGATTGAATTTTACAGATAATTTAATAGGTTTTTAAAAAGTTAACCTAAGAATTGTTTCAACTGATAAAAACCAATACTTTTATGTATGAGATTTTAATGGATGTATTTATAAGGATGTTTTTACAGAAGTTCACCTATGAACACATGTTCAGTCTAAATACAAATTGCATATATTTGCAGGATATAGAATATATTCATGTAAATATGAGTGAGGTTCACAGAGCAGCATAAAAACCTTCCAGTTGCAGCCAATTCAGCTATGGGACCACTTCATAAAAATAACTACAGTTTTGACAGAGTAGCAGATTAATGATCCCAAATGATCACTCCTATTTTTTATTTCACTCTACCCTCATATCATAGAGTTTAAAAATGTGGGAATCCCCCCTGGACCCACCAACGTTGAACTCTTTCCCCTTTGGTATAAGACATCACACACCAGCAGAGTTAACATGATTTCTGGGTACTGAGCTTCAAAAAGCTTTCCCAAATTGCCTGGTGCAGCTTTGAAGTCTGCCTTCGAGTAGTGAATATTTATGGGTCGACCGAGATTGATTTTAAAATGACATGAAAAACATAACCTCCGGCGTCTATCAGTTGACGATGTTAATCTGTGATGCAGGTATCTGACACAGTAAATGTGTGCTCTGACAATAAAACCTATCTCTACATGTTTTATTGATACCCTATAAGTCCTCATTTGCTCTCTGTTTACAATTAACTTTAAGATGCAGTGAATGGGGAATTAAAAAAGTTCTACAGTAAACTTATTAGTTTAACTCGGCCTTAATTTGACTTATTATGCATGCAAGAATGCACATAAATTAACAGTGTAAACAGAGCCGGCATACACATTTCCTCTTTTCATTCATTACCACTTCAGGAGTGAGGGGGTCTACGCCCCAGAGACCGGCAGAAGAAAAGTAGTATGCAAGCAGAAAGAATTGGCACACAGCAGCACAACACTGTTGACAGTAAGCAAGAATAAGTTTAGTAAGGCTAAACAGACAGGCAGGTTAAATCTAATGCAGCCAAAGTGGAAAGGGTTACATTTCACTGATTAGACTTTTTCTAAAAGGTCAAAGGCAAGGAAAGGAAGAAGTGGAGAGTTGCGGCAAAAAGGACATCTCAAAGAGCATGACATTAAAAGATGTTATTTCGAAAAGGCAAATTTAGCCAGACGTTTTTTAATAAGTCTGAAACCCAAGACAACAAAGTCCCCTGACATTTAACTGCATTACTGAAGGAAGATTAAATAACTCTACTTTGCTGCCCCCATTTTAAAACAGGAGCATTTCATTTTGTGCCCCCTGTATGCTCCGATAAGCTTCAGTTGCTTATCAGCCAAGGAAAGGACTTGGCAGCAAAAGAAAAATTAATCGAGGAACATGTAGGACTTACAAAATTACCACAGGACAAAGAACAAGATAAAGGTACATTTAACAAACCGTCTTTCTTCAGGTAGTGCAGTTCATGAGGTCAAGGGACTGAAGTTTTCATTATCTTTGAAAAATGTAGTTCTGCAGAATCATGTTAAAAATAGTTTGACAATTTGGAAAATGTGTTTGTGTGAACTGATGTTAACATTACATAAAGCTACAGCTAGCAGGCAGTTAGCCTAGCATACTGTACCAAAGGAAACCATTGGTGTGAAGAGTGTCCTAGCTTTGTCTGAAGGTGACAATCTTCATAAAAGCACCTCTATAGATCAATATTTAGCATGTCAGCTATTATTTGTTAAATTCATAGAAAAACTGAGACCACTTTCATGTCAGTAGGCTATGCTAAATATGAAGCTACAGACAGAAGGAAATTAGCTTAGCATTGGGATAAGCCTGAAAACGGGGGGAAAGAATTCACATGCTTCTACCAAGGTAACACAATCTCTTTACCATCATTTTAAAGCTCATTAGTAAACTCATTCTTTCAGCGGTTACATTTGTACAAATGTAAAGTAAGGGTAAAGACAATAACCAATTAAAAGCTGTTATGTGTTCGACTTTATCTTATTCGTTACTTTGAGTTATTGTCATTCTAACTCTTGATTTACTAACTTTCACAAGACTCGCTGCCCAACAAATTATCCTAACTTTTACTTTTCAAGGATCAATGCCTAATCTTAACCATTATGCAACAGTTGGCAAATCCAGAGATATAATCTAGACACAACACGGTCTCCCGTCCATATGCTAAACAAATCTAAGAGTGTTATCGGTCTTCTCATCTGTCAGCAAGGAACAAAATTAGCATAGTTTCCAAAATGTCAAACTTTTGCTTTAAGTTAATTCCAGCAGAATAAGAAAAGGAAAATAGAGGTAAATTCAGCAGAAAGGAGCAAAGCTTAAGCCACAGACCCTCTAACGGCGGAAACAACCACAGTCTTCCAGAGAATCAAAGTCAAATCGTCCAATATATGTTTCACTATTCACTACTGGCAGAGAATAGTCTTGGGGTACCCAGCCTGTCTGATTAACCTTACCTGGTGAGAGCAATGGCAATGACGGGTCGTCATCCACAACATAGTCATAACTAGTATTACCGTCCTCCATCTCGCTGCTGGCCGCAGCGTTACCGTTGGCCACGTTCTTCTTCGACTTTGCACCCGTGAAAAATCTCTGCATGCTGGAGTTGAATCTGATAAAGAGATGGAACAAAATCCCCTAAATTAAAGATACTGAAATAATTCAACCCAGAGTTCAAAAGGGGGGGGGGGAAACAAAAAGATAAGGCATTCAGTTTGAAGAAATACTTTTACAACAAATAGGGTTTATGAGCTCCAGATGAAAGGCTGGAACTGAATTGAATACGCAGTTTAATTAGCCAACATAACCAGTTTTTCTTTGTATTTCTATAGTATGAGTTTACAGTAAAGATGGCCTACTTTCTAAAAACCCACATCAGCATTTTAATATACAAACATATGCTGTTCTACATTAGAATAGAAAGTTAGTGTTCCCAGAGGCCTAAGACCATTTGGGGGACATTTCATCAAAAGGGATCACAAACACTAAACACACTTTAATTGCCAGGGTCATCTCAACATTGTGAGAGAAGGGCCATCTTTGCAGGTCAAATTGTAAACGAATGAAGTAATGTGGGTATTTCCAATGCAGCTTGAATGGTTTAAAAGTCATTCAGCCACTTTCAAGATATCCCTGTCTGAAAAAAGAAAAGAAAACCATCTTGCCGCACATTTCAAGGCAGTGGTTTCAATGTGTAGCCCATAACATCTGTACAAGATGTACACGGGGAATTTCAACATAACAGACTCGGGGAAACATTGCCAAGAACATAAAACACTATGAAAGATCTCATTAATGTGTCATATTAAAAGGATATTAAGATGGGCAACATGGGACCCTGGGAACAAAACTCCCCACAGGAGCTGCCCTCTCCCTTCTTGAGGTTATATGCCTTCAAGTGTAAACCTTAAAACTAAATGAAAGTGTATGTTATCTTTTTCCTTCACTGAATTCAGCGTTAAAGGGTAGAAGGTTTTTTTTGTACAGAATTGAAGCCAAAACTGACAAAGGCTAAAAATGTTACTAGGAGTCAAATTGAGGAATGTTGATGCTGTCGATAAAGTTTAAAAATAAATACAGAGCTTTATTCCTTCTTTAACCTCGAATAAGGTGATAAGAAAACATCGAGCTAGCTTGACAAGAGACACTAACGTTAATACTTTACTGTTCTTTATCATCACAGTATCCACAGTGGATATCGTTTTTAAGATGTCAAGCTAATGCTAACAAAGTTATCTAGCTAATATTACCCAGAAGTTCAAATGTGTGCGACATTATCAAAAGTTACTTAAAGGGGACCTATCATGCAAAATGCACTTTTGTACATCTTTTATACATGAATATGTGTCCCCGGTGTTCCAGGGAACTCACCAAGTGTCAGAAAACACAACCCTCTCTATTTTCCTCCATACCCAAATCTCTAAAAAAAGGGGCTGCAACGGATCTGATAAAAACTGATCCAGATTTGAACACTGTCCTGACGTCAGGACGGTGGCGCTACGGCTATTGGGCCAACTCCACCAATCAGGAGGAGACAGCCACGGCCATTGCCGTTTGAAAGCGCTGGAGACGCTGTAGTACATATGCCAGGCCTGTAGATGGTGCTGTTCTCACAGAATCAGCCCTTGCAAAAACAGAGCTAAAAAATGTCAAATTGAGCAAAATGAGGCATGGCTAAAATGCATGATCTGTTTGGTATTTTGAAAAAAAAAAAGTACAAATATGCCTTATATAGGTATGGTCCTACACTATATTATTCAAATATAGCATGATAGGTCCACTTTAAACATTGTAGTCTGAGGACAAGAGACTAAATGGGGATAATTGTATGCAGATAGGAGGAGGGTGTTTGTATCTAATTTAATTAAGTCAATGTTGGGCCCAAGCAATCTAGACTAATGACATCCCAAAACAAATGCTCATTATTTAGGACTCAAAAGCATTAATAGATTTGTTTTACTTTTACATTGTGTCATTAGTTGTTTACCATGGTGTTATTTGTTTTCACAATTGTCAGCACGCATGCTATTTGAGGAGAGGGGAAAGATACAAAAACAAACCCAGGCGCTGGAAGGTCACCTCGATGCTCTGATGGCGCTAAATAAAACCCTCTACTCCATTTTGTCTGGAACAGCTCGTAATGGTCAGCAGATATTTTTGGGAGAGGGGAGACATATGACAGCACATCCTACAGTAAGCACTTCTTTCCTCCAAATGAGAAAGGAGAGGAGGGATCCGGCTAAGCCTGTGCTCTTAGCCACTGAAGAGGGAGAAAGATTAAACTCTTATGGCAGGGAGAGAGCAGACGGCTGCTGAGTGTAACACAGATTACCGGCTGGACAGAGACGTGGGGCGGCATTATGCAGTTTGGACTATGAACACAAAATAGGTTGACTTTGGTGATACAAGCTGAAAGGTGGCGGATTAAAAACAGAAAGACGAGATTGTGGAAGATTGTTATCGAATAATCGTCATAAATGATGCATACCCCAGAAAATGACTATAAAGACACCCCTACCCCTAAGAAAGGCTATAATACACAATATTCAAGTGTTTCATGGGGCAACAGTTTTATAAAATTAAATACAATTTAAACTAAACCAGTAAAACACCAGAAATTGCCAACTGGAGATCTATTCGCAGCATTAAAAACACATTGTATAAATCCATTTGTATAATTTAAATTGAATTATACAAGTTCTGATATCTAGTATGATTGTCAAAGATCCAAAAAGTAGGAAAATGCTATCCCAAATGTTTGAAATGGCATCACAAAAATCTTTCTGGAACTGAGGCTGCCGAGCCGAGCGTTAACATCTGGGAAAGAGGACATGGAAATGAGAAGCTTCCCTCCAGCTGGAAACCCACTCTCCTCTTGTGAAACCTGAGTGCACTCATCATTATCAGCCCACAGGTATCAGTGGGTAAGAGCTCAAGCATCCCCCCCCCCCCCCACGCACACACTCAGGTGGTTGCTGTGGGAACGTGCCATCAGTCAGACGGACTGAATAATCGAATAAGAGACAAAATGTTCAGAACTCACTTCATGACGAGGATGTATCCCATGTACATGAGCACCAGTATCAAACTCTCCCACCTAAAGAGGAAGAAAAGACATAGGATTGATAACATGATAAGAAATACATAGAATATCCAGGACATGTTAGATTACTACAGTGGATAAACCAAGATTTAAAACCTAGAAGTTTTACATTTTTAAGCGAGATTATTCAACTTTTGTTCAAAAAATTACAGGACAATGAGAAATCACAGTGTAACATAAAGCCTGAAAATAGTGATGTCAGTTACAGAAATATAAATTACAAGTTTGCTAACAGTAGCCATCATGATCTAAAGGTCATACCAGACAAGCAAAATCATTGAATGTGAAGAAAGGGTGAGTTGTATTGCTTAAAATGTAAGCTCATAAATCATTAGAAGAGACACATTTATTTATTTTTGAAAAGTTCATGGTCTTGCTCAAAATGTGGACATATTTACAGAATAACTGAATGAGAAACTTACCAAACTATCTTCTCGTCATAGATGAACTGAAAAGTAAAAAGTAAACATTTCTCTTAAATACAAAAAAACTACATTCATGGCTGATGTTAATTAATAAATCCATGTGGTCCAACTTACTGCAATTAAAGCCAAAACAGACAGGATGTAGTAGGTGGAATCCCTGAAAACTGCCCACCAGGTCAGGATCACCACCTGATGGCACAAAAAGTGCAGTGTCACATTTTAGATATTTTATTTATCTGTGGGTATTAGAGTTCTGTGAAGCACTTTGGTATATGATACTATCAAAACACACACAATATGTAAAGTTTACTTCAAGAAACACAGATTTATGATCCGTGAATGCCCGAGAGTTTATTCTACATTTCTACGTAAACCAGTTCTGAGAAAGCTAACCGAAGCAGATGGCTTTGTTCCCCCTAAGCAAAAAAAAAAACTAAAAATCTAAAAATAAACAGCAGGATGCAGCCGGAGCAGGAAGTCAGCCCCTCTAACACACACACACCTGTCCAGCGAAGATGCCGCAGACACCAATGATGCAAAGGATGTTGAAGACGGCCGAGCCAACGATGGTCCCCACCCCCACATCGCCATGGGTGATGAAGACACCTGCACACAGGAAGCAGCAGCCAGTCAGAATCAGCGGTGAATCCAACCATCTGGGAATGTCGGAGTGTGTGTGTGTGTGTGTGTGTGTATACCAATGACGGATGCAAAAAGCTCTGGTGCAGAGCTGCCAGCTGCCATGAAGGTGGCTCCTGCAACATCTTCACTCAGATCTAGTTTCTGCAGAAAAAATAAAGCAAAGTATTTCACAGACGAACCGACAATGTGCGACTGAAAAGATGAAAGACTTAAAACTCCCAAGTACCTCACAGATTTTCTCCAGCGCTGTCACAAAGTATTCGTCGCATACGATGGCGAGGGCGAGAAACATGTAGAGAGCCTAGAGACAGAATCAGCTGAGTTACATTAGAAGTGCAACTATGTGTGTGTGTGTGTGTGTGTGTGTGTGTGTGTGTGTGTGTGAGACAAGGGCAAGATGGAATGTGTGTGTGTCTGTGTAGATACATCCCAAATCAGCAGAAATTAGCTGAGTAAATAGAGCCTTGGCAGAGCACAATGTTCTCCAGCTAAAGGACGGATGAAGGGGAATCTCAAAATGCGGCACCCAATTAAAATAAGCCTGCATTAAATTCAAATGTCAATTCAGAGATGGGCAGTTTTCTCTTACAATTTCTGTCAGGATAGATGTGGGTGGGAGGCAGCCTATTTCAGTAGTTGAGGCAAGATCTATAAATGATAGATCAGCTGTGACATCACTATGGGCAGCCAGCAGCAGTGCAGTGCTCTGCTCTATGCTATCCACAGGGGGCAGTGCAGGACTGCAGGATGATCACACCCCCCACACAGACTTCATCTCACTCCTCTCATCAGTAAGAACTCATATTTCAGTGTGGAACATAGAGATGGGGACACTTCAAAATCAGTTTGGACAAATCTTCATTTCCTGGTTATGCATTCACTAAAGCACTACAGTTAAGTACATTTTAGAGGTACTCGAGTAGTTCCTTTTCGTGCTACTTTATATGGAAATATGGCACCTTTTACTCCACTACATTTATTTAATAGGTACTACTAGGTACTTTGTAGATTTGGATTATTCTGAACAAAATATGAATCAACTGATAAATGATGAAGCATCCTTATAAATTAATCTACTCAGTATATGACATAATATAGCCACACATTTACAAGCTGCAACACTGAAGCAATGTACATATTAATGCATCAGTAATTATTATCATACAGGCACAATTATTCTGAAATAGACCATTCTGTACAATGGGTACTGTTACACATGTCGTTTTTTTATCCTTAATCTTTTAAATGTATTTAAAGAACAATTATAATGCAGGACTTTTACTTTTAACAGAGTATATTACCTCCCATCATCCAGTATTTTGTGAATACTTTTCCCCCCTCACCTGTCACTAAGAAGTTCTTCAATCTTAAATTAAAACCACAATTGGGCACAACAGAAAAACAATACCGATCATGATAATGTTGGCGATTATTGAGGTTTAGAAATAATTACACATAAGGGAAGGATAAGTACTGCAGGTCTCTCACCTCACAACTGCCTCCCACTAATGTTTGGAAAATTGTCAATGCAATAAAAAACTATTAAGATAAAGTTTATTGTTGGTGCCACCACTGAGGCATGTCCTTTATATATATGTTGTTTTTTGCAGTGCAAAAACATAACACCCCCTCCTACACTGTTTTTAGTATAAATGGACTGTACTTATATAGCGCTTTATCCAGTCTTTAAGACCCCTCAAAGCGCTTTACATACTACATGTCGTTCACCCATTCACACCCATTCATACAGAGCAGTGTACCTTACTCTAGGAACTAACATTCACACACATTCACACACCGTTGGCCATCGGGAGCAACTCAGGGTTAAGTATCTTGCCCAAGGATACATCGACATGTTGGCTGCACGGGCTGGGATCAAACCCACAACCTTCTGGTTGAAAGACGACCGCACTCCCTCGCAGCCACATAACATTCCCTGTGTTCCCTCGCTGAGTTGCAGCAGATCCATTGGGGCAAAAGTGAATACATTTTTTACTTGACAGACTTGGAAATTCACAATACATGTTTGTAAATTTCAGCATTTCTGCCAGAGTATGAAAAAGGCTTTGAAACCTAATTTCATGCTTGGAAATGTAAATTTTTTTAGTTTCTGGTCAAAGTTTTCTGAGTAGGATTTGTTGTGTTAGGAGAGCCTCAGGACCTCAGCATGTTTTAAAATACTGGCTACAGCCCTGAGTTGTATTTGACTAAGAACCTTTCTTAAAGCCAGTTAAATCCAGCATGAAGAACAGCACCTCCTGCTGAACAACACTGAAGAACCCCGTTGAACTCCACATGCGCCTGTGTGTCTCCATGTCAAGTCAGTGGAGCTTAGCATGGCTGAATGTAGACAGTAATAGCTTCTTCTTTTTTCGACGTGGGGAAGCAGCTCATGCAATATAAATATTGGACATTTGCCCGTCCTGGGCCTGTTTTCAATAAGAGTCTGTGCATTGTTTTAATGAATCATTCTTAAATTCGAGCTCTGACTAAAAATACTATAACATCAGAGTAGCACACACAGACACTCATGAGTTAAAGCTCTCCTTTGAGAGAACTCGGCACTTTATGACCCTCGAAACTGTAAAATGAAATGAATGACGTCTTATAGTTTAGTTGTTCTGATACTTATTTAATCAGCTGATTTTTATCTAGTGCTTCATATTTTACCGATTTGCATTTAGGTCTTTTTTGCCTACTTTATACCAAGCCCTATTAAATGTAGTTGTGCCTTGGCTAGATCAATTCAAGACACATTAAGGGAATATGTGAATAAATATTCTAAATGCACTTACTGAGCTATTCCAAGAGCTTTTGGCCAGATACAGCCATCCTCAGCACACATGCATTATACCAAGGACAAGAATTAACCCCAACGTTCCAAGTACTATTAAAACAAATACCCACTTTTCTTACATACATCTTTCTCATGTGTGCATCATTTGAACATTAAAAATGATCTTTACAATCTTGCTGAGAAAAAACTGATACCTTAAATCCACCTGCAACCATCTGAGCTCTGTGAGAAGCAGCAGCTTTATAACAAGAAAATAAAACTTTTCTTACCGCCAAGATGTGAAGTGCAATGGCCCCCTTTCTGCGTTCATCAGTGGTGAAAAGGTCACTGGGGAACTCGTGTACCGCTGAGGAGCAGAAAGGAAATGTCACGGTCACAACACATCAGCGGTATGACAGCGAGGTACATGTCCCCAAACCACCCAGAGAGGATCGAATAAACTTCAAGGTGGGTGTCAGTCTCAGAGGAGCAGGCCTGGGGTGCCCTTTTGGGTAAACAAGCTAACCAAAAAAAAAAACTCTTGGTCGTGGTACCTATGGGAGCCTCATCACTGCTCTCCTTGTTCTGTTTCTTCCCACTGGATTCTTGTATACCTCAAAACAGGGCACCACAGCAAGAAGGGGTCAAATGCAAATTGAACAGCAGCCTGTGATCATCATCCAAAAAAGAAAACTGGAACCTGAGACAACATCAGAGGCTTTGAATTTTCAAAGGCCTGAGATGGATCTGAATACTTTTTGTAAATCATCTTCAGTCCCACGACTCGACAACAAATGACTTTAGACCCTGTTCAAGGAATAAAGGAAGGAAAAAAATCTTCAAAAGCAGATGTAAAAGCTTTGGCTATATTAAGAGCCTGAAGTCATACAGAATTAAAAGCAAGCAGGAGGAAAACCATCCCATGCTGGGGACTGATCATCCAGAGGTGCAGCTGGAACACAGTGTGATTGTGGTACCAGCATACGGATCACATCTCTGGGAGCGCAGCCTCCACGGTGCACCTGGCTGGGGACAGAAGCTGGTCGTCTTTCGACATCTGCGGCCAAATCCGCCCTGTTTGTGTTGGGCAGGAGCTGTGGGCTCATATCTTGTCTGTCCTTGTAACAGGCCTGCCACAAAACTAGCATAACACTTACACAAGCTAGCTCTAAGCTACAGTTAGCCTTATACTACAGGGAGAATAAACTATCCAACTGAAGAAAAACAACTACTGTAGACAAAAGAGTCTACAGCATGGATGTATGAAGAGGACTTCTACAGTCATAGCTAGCGGCTAATTTAGCCTATACTTAGACGTAGTGGTGCTTTGAGCTAAATGCTAATGTCAGCATGTCACAATCAATGAATATTTTTGCAGTGTTTTACAGATACAGTTGTGAGAGTTTTGTAGTTTAGTGGATACTTTCACAGTTTTAATATATTTTTTATATTCACCCAGAGTTCAACTCACACATATTTTCTTTCTTTTGTTGTGTAGCCTACTTTTCTTTTGAAGTTTCTGTGTTGGGTTTGTAGCATCCTTTGCTGTCTGGCCATCTGTACAGTATATATAGGGCTGTGCTTTTTTACATTCTGTATATCACCTTGGTAAGAGAATGCAAATAAGGTGCACACAACGACAATAGGCCCTTTCTCACTGCGGAAATTTGGACTTGCCAAAGTAGGAAAAGCACAGGTGTTACTAACAACACTATCAATGGCTTTCTTTTATTAAAGTGAGAGCCAGTATGCCTTACTAGGAAACCGAACTCATGAGCCAAAGTGGATTTCAGCCATCATTCATGTAGCTACCTACACCTGTGCTCTCCCTGCTGTGAAGTCAAAAATATCTTGTGTTTTTGACCATGTTTATCATCTTAATTAAGTGCGTTAGCATGCTAACATTTGCCAATTAGCAATGCACACAGAGTCAAATTGTGGCTGTCATTCATTGGTTTGGTCATAAGCCAAAGTATTTTACCCAAGGATGGCACCAAATTAAAGTGGATCACCAAAGTAGTCATGAGAGGGACATAACTCAATATGCCAGATTTAAATAGCAATGAATACTTGTCAACAGTGCTGACACTACCACGACAGTCAATTCATCCTTTGTGCACTACAAATAGATGAATTTCATGGCAATTTCAACCAACTTTGCCATCCCTAGAGCCATGCAGACACCTTTGCTAAAAAAAAAAAAAAAAAAAAAAGACGGGAGGGATTTTCCGCTTTACCAACTCAAGCAGAGCAGTAAAACAAAAATTATGCAAGAACAAAATGCTATAGTCTGAGCTGGCAGAACAATGCCGTTACAACTGAGAATAAAGGCAAGATTTGGGCCCTTGTCGCATATGGAGTTGTGAAGTGGAACATTGCTCACCTGAGACTTCTCACTGCATCTGTGCCAACCTCCCCACTGCCTGTTTCTCTGATACACAATGGTGTGCACACATGACTGAATCAGTGCTGCATTTGGAACATTGCACAAGCAAATCAAACACTGCACATATCTAGTCCAATCCCACCTAATCAACGGCATGCCTCCCAGATTACAGTCAATTACATCACATATATATGGAAATGTAGTACATTTTGTACCTTCATATGTCATCCAACACATCTCTGCCAGAAATAGCATTAGTTCCTTTGAGTCAAGGCTCTTTGCTCAGTAGTGGTGGGACACAAGTAAATCTTAGGGGATTTGTATGAGTTTTGGCATCTCACTTTAGCACTTAGACTGCCTTTATGACACAGTAAATGACTTCATGCTACTGATTAGAGGACAAAATAGTCATACAAAAAGAGTGAGTAATGCGTTTGCGAAGTACGACGAGAAACTGAAGAACACCTGGCTGACATTGGAATTTTGCTGCAACATTAACGGTCGATGGCGGCGTTAGCTCATTTCATTTCTGACAGGTTTATGTGCTGAATGAAACGTGTTGAAAAGCCGACGGCCCTCAAGCAAAGGCACAATCAATTACAGGATATGTCAGCTGTGCCCTCAGAGGTGACTGAAAACCAACTGATGCCAATACAGTACGCTAAACTCCTACCGATACCTCATGGACAGACAACCATACATTAATGGCTGCTAAAAATATAAAACCATGGGGAAAGTATCCGGTTTGAATTTGCCTTTGTCTAAGCCTTTTCACCTTGCTTCCACGTTATGTAGCCAAACCTGCAGGTCTGCCATGAATCGATAATTAAATGCCATTGACAGCCATATTCTTTGGTTACATGTTCAGCCCCTTGCCACAGTATACAAGCAGGTCTGGCTGAGAGCGAGGTAAAAATAGGTGGTCACAAAAGGTGTTTAAAAAGGCGCCAGCAGAGAGATGACAGACAGGGGTCACCTCCCAGCCCCTGTAAACATTCAGCAGACAGGGTTTGTCTCTTGTCTCGTCGCTGTCGAGGTCAAACCGGACGTGAACATGCTTCTGCAGGCGATTCCCACACAAGGACAGGACGAACACACAGGAGCGTCACAACACACAGATTGCTTAAGTGATGTATCTCAAATGAGCCCCATCAATAGAATAATGTGTAGCTGAGTTGAATTATGGCTCACTCTTACAGAAAATAAAGTGGAATAAAGAGGAGAAGGCATATTGTTATGATGGATTTTGGAAGAACTTGTTGCAGAAAATGTTCCTTGACAAAAAAGGAATTCTCTTCAAAAATTGAAATCATTTATCAAGAAGATTTGACCAAACTTCTGAAGTCATTCATTCAAAGAGTTTAGGGCAACTTACAATTGTTTAAATGTAAGTTGCCCTAATATTAAATCGGCCGACTATATTCTTGAAAAAGTCCTTGGCAAAAGCCAGAGGGGACATAACTTGTTTGTTTTGCTAAATCAACCCACATTTATGGCAAATAAAAGCAGCAGAGAAGCAGCGAATCTTCACAAGTGAGAAACTGGAATTAGAAAATGTGGGGTTTTTGCTCAATTAAAAGTGAAAAATTATAATAATCAAAATAGTTGCAGTTTAACATTACTTCCCCCCCCCAACAGATTTACTGCAGCATACATAATTGTATCATAAAGTACAGCTTGTGCAAAAAAAGATCTTCAGGTAAATTTGCTTAAGATGGCGCCAAGAAAGCTGTTATTAGAATAGAGTACAGGGTGTTCTGCTTTAACAAAATGTGTACACATCTGAAAGAAACAAAAAAGTATCTATCCTGCTGCTCTTGTGTTTGTGTGGAGCTGCTGGTTTGTGCGGAGCTGCTGTCATTTTTGGAGGCAACAAAGGAACGAGAGCGTGGAAAAAGAGATGTCTGAAAAAAAAAAAAAAAAAAAAGTCCTCTTCAGAAGCTGATCTAAATACTATAAATAAACCCTGGATTCTCTGTTTGGACACCTGACTGTGCAGCTTATGCAAGAAATTACTGGCAACACTTTTGTTCATCCGTGTCCCCAACCCGTCCCTCCTCATCTTATCAACCCCAGAAGTAATTACAACTTTGCACAAAGTCCCCACGAGAAGAGTCGGGAGGATTTTATAAGATGCAGCACTGCCATTACGTCCTTAAGTTTGACAGCATTACAATTGTAAAAAAGGGGTCCGAAAAGGGTGACCTGACTTTATTTTGAGGACACAATTTTTTTTTTTTTCTTACCCAAAATGTTTTATTTTATTCCAGCGTTCCCTCTGAAAGACATTTGCCATGTGAAAAGGACAGCAGGAAAAAAGGGAATAATCTCCTTTGCATCTTGAAGTTATTGACTGGGACCAATTCAAATGTCCTTATATTTGTTGCGACACGTCTAAGTCAAATGTATTCTGTAGTTATTTAAAAACACTGAATAATTGCAAAAATGTCGAGTGTAACATATATTCTCTCTTCACAGGCCACATAAGTCTCTTTTAATATAGGAAATCTACTTAGATAATCTTAATTTATTAAATCCAGAGCATGCCAGTCATTCTTCACATTTGTGCATTTATTATACCATAATCTGGTAATATTCTAGATAATATTGTGCCGTTATATAATGGAGCTCAGTACCGAGTGCCGTCTGTTGTCCCAGAGACACGAGGACTGTGAGGACAGTCTCAACCCTACACTCTCAACTACTGTACACAACACTCTGTACCACTTACTACACTACTAAAGGTGGGCGGGACTAAAAAGACTAACAAATAAAGTGTTGTTACAGTCCTATGTCAAGTAAACCTCAAACAAGATCGGAAAAACACAACTTAAATCACATAATAAACAGCGGGGTAATAATATTATGTTGCGTGTAAGATGTTCTGGCTCCGTGCCTGGTGCTACCTTCTGTCACAGACCCACACACCAGCCCAGTCATTAACAGAATACAGTCGACACTCCAGTACAGTCAAGAGACTC